CCTCCCCCAGGCATAGGCTCCTGTGCCCGCAGCAGGAACTGGCCTTCCAGGACCTGTCCTAAAACCAGCCAGGGGCTCTGAGTGGACAGCATGAAGAGGAGCCAGGAAGCAGGGGAGACCGGGTGTGTGTGGCTGAGGTGGGAGCTGGCACCACGAGGTTTGGTAAGCCAGTGAGGCTGTGTAAGGGACATTAACAAAAAGATATCATGAGGGGGAGACGAGAGCATTTTTGGAACATTCTTTCTAAAAGTACAGAAGTAAGATAAAGACTATTAAGAGCCGACTCTACGGACTGCAGTAACCCAGCTCCAAGCACTGGGCAGGGCGGGTGTTCCAGTCATCGTCTTCCTTAATGCTCACAAGGCCGCCATGACAGAGGCACATTAACCTGCCTCAAGCCACACAGTCAATTAAGTTGTGGGCGGAGTCGGTCAGGGCCAGAGTACCAGCCGGGTTGCTCCATCCCACCCAATGCCCACATCCCACCAATTCTAGACTGGAATGTTCTGGGTGCTCTGTAGTGTGGGGACAGATGGCAATTAAGACCCGGTGAGAGCACTGGTGCTCAGAGGCCTGCTGGCACCCAGGCCACACAGACCCCCTCCCTGGTGCCAAGCAACCAGCTCCTTTAGAGGACTTGGAAGACTGCTGGCCCAGGGACTGCTGACCTGGAGAGTCCCCGGAAAGGAGCCGGGCGCACCGCTCACAGGTGAAAGCAGCCACTGACAACCTGGCCACAGTTGGCATCTCTGTTCCCCTACAAGTCTATTGGCAAAATCAGTATTCTGACCGCTGCTTAAACTAACAGCAGTCACTGCTGCTGGAGGAGAGGAACTGAAGGATACGTGTTCACTGGGCAGAAGAGGAACTGCTGTGCGGCTGACACCACTTCCTCCCGCTACCCTCAGATGACTGAGGGTGGGACAGCTGATGGCCTGGGGGCCGGTGCCCTGAAGCAAGCTCTTCTCCTTTTTAGGACTTTCCAGCACTGACTCTAGGGCTGGCTCAGGTCAGAGGAGCCTTCCGGTTCGGCACCTTGTGAAGAGGTGACCACTCCTCTGGGAGCAAGCTCCTGCTGTACTGGGGGAGGAGGAGGACTGCTCCCAGGACACAGGGCCCATTCCCTCAGGTCCTGAGCCAACCTCGAGGCGTGGTCAGGGCTAAGAACGGACTCAGAGCCCCATCCTCCAGCGAAGTGTGAACTGACACGCACCAGTGTCTCAGGACACCCACTCGTGGCCTCAGACAGGCTGGCGCACAGCTCTCATCAGGACGGGAGACACGCGTAAGAATTCGGCCAGTTAGCCCTTCACCTCTGATCTAGTTACACTAAACAATCTACCATTTCCACTCAGAATAATCCCCACTTCTCTTGCCAAGTGGCTTAAAATATCATATTTCCACCCACAGCCCCATCACTTAGCCCCGTCTATAAAATTCCTTTCACCATCTTTCCAATCCTGACTCTTGCCAACACCAAGTACACCTGGAACGAGCCCAAGCAAAGAACTGAAAAGGGCAAGTCATCAGAAGCCCCATGACGGCCCCTCCCCTCAAAGACCCATCTGCCGCCACAGAATCTGCAACCCCAAAGCCAGGACAACGGCCCTGTCAGAGGACCAAAGCCAATGGGCAACCCACAGCTTTCTCCCGGACGGGCTCAGCTGCAGAGACCAAATCCCCCCAAATCTTACTTCATCTGAGTGGTTTACCCATCAACAAGGAGTCGTATTTCCTGTTGCCCTTAAACTCCTAAAGTATCTCCACACTGAAACGGCTGATTCAGCTCTAAACAAGGTCTAACCTGTTCATTAATACCTATGGGCCAGGTATCTGGAATACAAAGAGACTCAGCCAAAGTGAATCACACAGCAAGTATTTACAAAGCACTTCCGGGAAGGAGTATTACACCTGGCCAGCCCCTAAGGGAACCCGGAAGAGAACAATGACCCAGGACAGACTCGGCCCCATGGAGGAAGCCCCAGGAGGAAAAGAGAATTCACACTTACACTGTCCGTAAAGAGAGCCCATGGTGGCAATGGGCCCAGAGTCAGAACTTGAGACAAGAAGGTAGGGGATGGTGGGCACTGGGTCCCACTCAAGCTCAGTCCTGAGAGAGGGAATGTGAAGTCTTAGGCCAGTGGTCGGCAAACTTCGGCTCGCGAGCCACATGCGGCTCTTTGGCCCCTTGAGTGTGGCTCTGCCACAAAATACTGACTTCTGTGCGTGGGCCACAAAGTTTCAATCGCACTGTACGTGCGCACCCGCACGTGGTATTTTGTGGAAGAGCCACACTCAAGGGGGCAACAAGCCGCATGTGGCTCGCGAGCCACAGTTTGCCGACCACTGACTTAAGGGAAGGGGGACCAGTCGTAGCCCAGCTCCCCAGCTCCCCAGCTCCCCTAGCAACCTGCCTGCCCACTCCTAAAAAAGCTCTCTGAAAATGTCCTGTAGCTCCAACTCTCCCACATGGCTTCACTGACTGAGCCCCCCACCAGACATTCTTCCTTAGCAGCAGGCCACAGGCATTCTCCCAGTGAACTCCAACCCCTTGGAACTCCTCCCCTACATCTCCCCCCCCAACCCCTATCCAAGCACCACCCTCTGCAAGCCCAGGTGCTCAATAAACACTAGTCCAGTGCCCAACAGGGAATCTCCCACCAGGCCCACGCTGAGCTTCAGCCCTAGGATTATCTGCCAGCTATGCTTTCATTAGTCTTAACTAGGAGGGTAGGGCTTGAGCTTTTTACCTGTGAATCAACATCCTGTTTCTCTTCCATTTTGTAATTACTAGTGTCCCACTCCTCCAAACATCCCCTCTCCTCCTCCCTAATCCTCAGATTCCTCTCTCAGGGTTTAGTGACTCTTTGGGATATTCTTTTTTTTGGGGGGGGGGGGGCGGTAATTTTTGTTAATCCTCACCAGAGGATAAATTTTACTTTTTTTAGAGAGAGGAAGGGAGAGGGAGGGAGGGAGAGAAACATCTATCAGTTGACTCCTGTACCAAGCCCAACTGGTATGTGCCCTGACCAGGAATCAAACCCGAGACCTTTCAGTGTACAAGACGACACTCCAACCAACTGAACCATGCCTGTCCAGGGCTCTGGGACATTCTTTCATCAAAACCAAGGAGAAAGAAACTGAAGAGACCAAGGATCTTACACCTTTCCTCACTCGAAATAAAAAATCCCATTATTCTGACTAATGTGTATGAGCATTACTCTTTCTGACAAACTCACATTATCTGTGACTAAAATTAACCCTTTACTATCAACTATTTTATTTTATGAGACAGAAACTGTAACTGCTACATTACCTTCATGTTATAAATTTCTGTTTTACATTTTAGCAAATATGGCTAAGTGGATGACAACTGGAAAAGCAACAACATAGACATATTCTGATAGATTAATTACCCTCCCTCAGAGAACTATTACAGTAAAGCATGAATTTTTAAAGTAGTCTTGAAACAGTCAAATAAAGGGACAAATGGACTTAACTGTGCAAGCTATAGTTAACTGGCTCAGAATCAGTTGTTTCAGTGTTGAATAGACAGCCATTGCCTCAAAACAACCCAAAGGACAAGAGCAATTTAAAATCTGACTCGATATACGAAACAGGAACGCTGGAGTAGAGATGCTGAATGACCACTAAGACCCACTGTTTAAAAATAAAAACAAAACAGTAAAACACACACCCACACTATAAAAGGAAAATCATAGCTCACGAAAGCCTATTTCTATCCTGCAGATGACTGTCATTTTCTGGGAGGTCAGTTCTCTTAGAGAACTTGCTCAAATGAGCAAAGGAAGTATCTGAGGAGTGGGGGTGGGGAGGGAGAGGGCCAGAGGGCTGGCATCTCAAACTCTGATTTTATCCATGAGTGCTGGTTTTGCAGTAACTCAAGAGTTCTGGTTTCCTGATCATAGGTCATGCCACCCTGAGGATGGTCTCTGGCACGCCTCTCAAACTTGACGGATGTGAAGGTTTTGGGAAGCCTTATGCCTGGCAAGTGCTGGGCTGGCAAGGAATGAGGCCAAGTGCTATTGCATAGGCCCGACCAAAAGACCCAGGAAGGTAAGAGGAAGGCTTGTGAATTCCCGAGGATGAATATAGGTAATAACTATTTTCCAACAGCCTTTTCTGAGTTTCAATCCTATGCAGCTTGCACAGTTCCGAGATACTCTGCCTCAGCCACAGCCTTGTAAAGGTCATCAACAAGATAACTTACTTCCTATTCCTATCTGGAACAACAGTGTGGACATTATATTATACAAAAGAGAAGCTGCAAACCAGCCTAGAAATTCCTATCCTTTTGCTAGGGCACTGGGAGAACTAGGATAGTTAGAAGGCAGTCTGAGAAAGACTTCCTACCTGGCCCTTCCATGAATCCCGAACCCACCCCTTCAGATGAACAACAGTCCCCCTGAAATAGCACTCTATGGACATCACCTTCTCAGGATGCTAAATGGGGTGCGTGTTGTGGCTGGACACAATGAAGCACCAATTCTCTAAACGCAAGTCACTGGGAAGAGAAGACGAGCGACCGTGTCCACTGCCCCTTGCCAGCATCAAGTCAAACGTCTGGAATGTGAAAAGCGAAGGACGCCAGGGTTCTCCGATTCCAAACCCAGGAAGTGCACTGGGACGGAGAAGAGACGGTGCTGACACACCAGGGGCCACAGAGTCTAGGGAGGAAAAGAAAGTAGATCCACTACAAGTCCGGGATGTGGGGAACCTCTGGCACCGAAGATCAGTGAGGGATAGATAGACAGGCGCAAGGTGGAGTGGCTGGGGATCCTCGAGAGTAGGTGCTAGGGCGCCATCCCCTCTCTTCCCGGCCGAGAGCAGGGAGTCTGGGGAGTCGGATCGAGCTAGTGACAAGGGGAGTGCGGAGCTCGGAGCCCGGGACGGGCCTCCTCTGCGTGGGGTAGGGGGTGTGCGGCGGGCCGCAGGCCAGGGCGACCCGGCCCCTTCTGGCCGGCCTGCGCGGCCCTCACCTTGTCCGAGTCCAGGTCGGGGTCGGCCTGGCACAAACGGTACAGGAAAGATTTCGGATCCCGGCACAGCGTCTGCCGGGTGGTGAGAAAATACGTGCCGCCGACGTTGAGCCGGACCCACTTGGACACGCTTCCGGGGCGCTGGGCCAGGGCGCCGAGCCCCACGCTGCAGCGGCGGCACAAGCCGCCCCCCAACCCCGCCCCGAAGCCGCCCGGAGCCGGCTGTAGAAGCTCGCAGTGATTCTCCGCCATGATCCCAGCAAGCCCAGCCACAGCTCCCCTTCACCGGAAGCGTCCGTTCTTTAATACCTTCCTCCGCGCTCTGTCCCGCCCACGGGTCCGCCCTGCTAAAGCGCCCGCCCGGGGGTCATGAGGGAGACGAAAATTCCGGTCCGGAAAAGCCGAGGATCGTGCCCCCTTCTGGCCAGAGAAGGTTGTGGCGTGGTCCGTGGTGCTCGCGTACAAGTGCAGAGGTGAAGGCAGCGCGGGGCTGCAGGTTGTCTCGTTGGCCTCCCGGCCGGACTCGGGTCTTAATACAGGTCACAACGAAGATCCGCCATAGCCAAAAAAGAACTACACCGGCCATCGCCATTGTCTACGCTCTACAATGTAGTTTACATGCTTTTTTTTGTTTGTTTGTTTTGTTTAATCTTTGTTGTTGAAAGTATTACAGCCCTAGCCGGTTTTTCAGTGGTTAGGCGTCCGCACGCGGACTGAAGGGCAGGGGTTTGGAATCCCGTCAAAGGGCACATACCTAGGTTGGGGATCCTCGGCGTGCAGGAGACAACCCAGTGGAGAGATACATTGATGTTTGGCTCTCTGTCTCTCCCCCTACCTTCCATTCTCTCTTAAAAAAATCAATGGAGCCCTTGCTGGTTTGGCTCAGTGGATAGAGCATTGGCCTGCGGACTGAAGGGTCCTGGGTTCAACTCCCAATGTCAGGGGCACATGCCCAGGTTACAGGCTGGACCCCCAGTAGGGGGCATGCAGGAGGCAGCTGATTGATGATTCTCTCTCATCATTGATGTTTCTCTCTCCCTCTCCCTTCCTCTCTGAAATCAATAAAAAATATATTTTAAAAAATCAATGAAAAAATATCCAGTGAGGATTAACAAAACAAAAAAAAGTATTACAGATGCCCTTCCCCTTTATCCCCCATTGACCCCCTCCTCCCTGCTTCCACCCCCTCCCCAAGCCTTCACTACACTATTATCTGTGTCCAAGGGTTATGCATATCTATACTAATAAAAGGGTAATATGCTAATTAGGGTGTACGTCCATCTGGACAAAGCCACAGTGGCTGCGAGGTCCTGGGCTCAGGCCTCACAGCCGCAGCGGCCAGCAGTGGCAGCAGCAGCAGGGTGATGGGGCGGCACCTTTCTCTGATCAGCCCAGTCACCTCTCGCAGAGGGAGGCCAGACTATGGGGAGCAGGTCTAAGCGTCAGTAGGACATCCCCTGAGGCTCCTAGACTGTGAGAGGGGGCAG